AAACACTTTCTAGAGATGATGCTATTTGCGAGCTACACTGTTTAAAAGAAATTTCCGAATATTATGAGACTATTTTTATTGATGGTACTGTTAGCAAAATAAAAAGGGTAAGGCAAAAATTAAAGGATGGGAGAGTACCATGTATATTCCCGAATCTGCCAATACAAAATTTGTTAACTGTGTTTTATTTTGCTCTAAATTTGGTTCTAAAAAAAGGGGTTACCTGGAAAGTTTACCGGGAGTTTTAAAAATGAGTAATTTTATAGATTTCGATGTTCTTTCTGATTTTCAATTTTGCCCCCTCGTATATTTGCCGCTCGCCCCGCCATAATGGAAAAAAGGTACATAAAAGCAGTTTTTTTGACACTATTGCGTTTCCGATTCATTTCACCATCAAAACATTTATATATAAAAAGAAACTAAAGAAATATTTCTACATTTTGTGAAATAATCTTTTTTTTGTAAAATCAATAGTTTTGGCGTACGAGAGCCTCAAAGTGTAGTTCAACGCGCGTTTTGACCAAAAAACTCATTTCCGTACCACCTTGAGGTAGAATAGGCTGCGTGTTTTTTATCGTGGTATCCCCAGTAGGCCTAATCCACAGATGTTGCGAGTTCATTTTCTTTAGTACCGATGGAAACGTCACAGACCGAAATGTCTTTGCCGTCATCCGCAATGGGATGCATGCTTCACAACATTAACATATAAAAGTAAATTTAATAATGGGTCCTATGATTGAACGTTTACGTTATCCGTAACGTACATGTTTTAACAGTAACGAGACAAGTTCGAATGATGGAAAACTTTTTCCAACACATTAGTGTTATTTTCCGCCTGTTATGTTCTAATTTAACAGTTCTCCATCATACTTGCCTCGTTACTTTTAAAATTCGGCCCAACATGTACGTTACGCATAAACAAAATGCAGAGCAATGGGGATGGAAAAGAAACAAGAACGGGCTGATTGAAGAGTAGAACTACCAAAGGCCAAAATCTAAATTTTCAACGAAAATCTACAAATTTAAAAAAATATTTTAGGTTATTAAGGCAAAATAATAATTTTTAAATAATTTATGACTTTTACTAATATATAAAATAAAATAGGCATGAAAAAAATATATAATTAGTCCCCAGCCCAAATATGAACCCGGCTCCCTCATGTGGAAGACAGACGCTGTGTCCTCATGCACCTCCTCCGCCACTTTTAGGATTTTAGTTTTATTACTCGTAATTACATTAGTTTACTTTAGTTCAATTATTTGTCGATTCTAAATAAAAAATAACTCATTTTTAATTAAGCTTCAGGCTCTTCTTGTTTTCCTAATTTTTTTCGTAAATTTAAATAAATTCTATCGCACGCCACCGTATTAAATCTACGTAAATAACTTACGGCTCTGTTTGCTTTATCTACTGACCTATATATTCTGAAAGATCATCAGATTTATTTGGGACAGTGCTCACCCTTTTATTAAAATGCGTGGTCTAAACCAGATTTAGGTACGTACCTACGCGCAAGTCCATTTTCATAGAATAAAAAAACACTTTGTGATAAAAGTGCTTTGAAATTTTATAATGAAAAAGTGTTTAATGGGGTCGGGGTGGTGGAGGAAAGGGTGAATATTCAATATGTTTCGATTTCGAGAAAATGAAAAACTATATATACAAGGTTTTTTAATAATAATTGTTCGTAGGGTAACTGGAGATTCCTGTACCCAAAATACATATGACTATTTAATCTAAAACATAAAATATTCCTTCTAAACGAGATATGGCTCTTTTATTTAAACATCTAAAAATGATTCAAAGTATAGGCGTTTGTACATTCAAATCTAACTGGAAAATTGACGCGATTTTTCATAATTTTACATTATTGGCGCATGCTTACTTTCATTAGAAAGGTAGTCATTAGGTATTAAAGCTAATCGGTATTTTAAAATAAAATGTAGAATAATTTGAATATTTTATAGTTAAACATCTAAGATTCAAACCCATGTCTCATAATATTTAAACGCTAATTATTAAATATTACCCCTTTTTCAATCTGCTGGTAATTATATGCAACACAACATACACAACAACACACTAGCAACATTGAAGATTGTAAAGTAAAATTTCAATTTTATTAAATTTGAAATTGGTAATATCGTGTGATCAAAGAAAATAGTATATTATTTAATAAGTGTATAATGTTGACCATATTACACGAGTGTTGTAAATATTCGTGTGTAGTATGGTTCATTATACACGAATTGAATACTATACTTTATCTACAACTGAATACGGGGGCTCACCGAAAACGAAAAGGGGATTTTTAGAAAAAATTCCTTGAAGTTGTTATAAATAGAATTGGCAAGATTGTTCACAATTAAAAGACCTTTCAAATGAGGAGTATTTAAGCCACTGTGTGAAATAAAACTCCAATTTATACAGGAACTCGTTTAAAGTTATTTATTGATGTAATTAATAGTAACATTACAATTTGAAATATTAATAGCTCCGGTAATATCATTGAGATTATTGTTTTTTAAAGAAAAATTAGTGTTGCTATTGATGAGTACAGAATCATGACGATCACTGTCAGAAGATGATGGATTATTAAGACCAACACAATTTTCATTATTGATTTGATTTAAAATTGCTTGAGCTGTTTCTATTTTGTTCTTTTTTCAATTAGCGATGTACCCTTCTGCTTTGGAGGCGGATTTCCAGCCTCCATGACGTTTTAATGTTGTCATTGAGGCTCCAGAATCAGCAACCAATGTTGCAGATGAACGCCTGAGGCAATGGCCAGTATATCTCTCAGGGTTGGTAATTGTAAAAACGTAGCAATTTGCTTTCCCATTGCGCTAAACTTGTTCATTCCTATCACTTGTTTTGTACACTTTCCTTTTTGGAAATTGAGAAAAAAATCTTGTGGTGCATTTTCGGGACGGAGGTCTATATATTTTTTAACGATTTTGAAAAAATTATCCACAATTGTGAAATTCCTTGGGACTTTGGTTTTTGTGTGTGGCACGTTTATTTGAAAACATCCCTCAAAACATCTTAAATCCCCAATTTTCATATTCTTTAATTCACAGGATCGGCTAGCACCCATGACCCCCATAATCAAGGCAACCTTAAAAAATGTGTAGATTAAGTTAAAGAATTTTGATTTTCGATTCAAGTTTTTACCTTTGTTCCAAGATATTTAAAATCTGGGGCTTCCTTTATAAACCTCTTAATTTGTTCACTAGTCAGAGCTTCAGATTTCTTAGGTTCGTAATTTTCGGATCGTCTTTTCAACAAAGCACGTAATCTCGGATATTTATCAATGTCGACATTGTTCTTGATGTTTAACATGCTTTTTAGCATGGAATAGTTTGTCCATAAAGTAGACGATTTGTATTTACTAGAAATTTCCATAAAATATACAAGCACAGTGTCTTCGGAAAAAGAGGATACATTTTTTGTTTGTTTCCACGACATAAATTTGTTGTATGCAATCTCATAATTTTTCCTCGATATTTCAGGTAATAATTCCAACGACGCCACTTTAGCAGCGTCGCGGATTTCAGGAGGTGTTAGTTCCATGTAATCATCGTCTTCCATTTTTTTAATTGATAAACACTTAAAACGGGCTTAATATTTTAAGTTTAATTTTAAAAAAGAATCGGGAACAACGGATAACTGTCAACATGCTGTCAACTAACTTGTTAAACGCATACTAGATCGAATGATTTTTAATTCTAGTGGGGTATAATTGACAAAAATCGTGTAATATGAATATATTCTCACTACTGATATATGGATTGCTTTATGTTGCCTTAGATACTCATATAATACATCCATATAATGATAGTTGTAGATAAAATATATTAAATTCACAATTTTCATATTATTAATCTAATCAGGTTTCAATGATCCTTTTTAGTACTAAAGTTTAATGAAAATCTTCAAAAGAGTGTTTGAAATATTATTGAAAAGCTAATTCTTTTTAAAATTATAACACCCTGTATCTACCAAAAAAAATTTTTAGAGTACATGTTTATATACAATTTTAGTAATGAAATAGGCGAAGAAATTATCCTCGGAATTAGCTCTTTCAATATTGACAAATATTCTTAATCTTAAATAACGGTTTTGTTCGTAATCCAGACATTCCGTACTGAGTTCCGTACTCTCCATCTCTACCATCGTGTTAATGCACATGTAGATGTGAATGCGCATAGCATACTACCAGGCAACGTTGCCAAATCCTAATTTATTTTCTGAAAATATAAAGATTTTGATACTTACATTTAAAAAATTAATGTAAATTTTGTGCATTTATATTAGGTACCAGGTCCAGGTGGTACCAGTAGGAAAGTGACAATATCTCTTTTTAATATGTAATAGCTGCAATTGACAATATTTATAAGATAGGTACACACAATTGTATGTTTCTAACCCGTAATTACAAATTTTATCTCGTAATAACAGAGATGAATTAATTTATTTTATAATTAGGTATTATTTTAATTTAATATTTAAAATTATTTAATATGTTATTTGATATTTTTAACTGACAAACTTATGTTTTCTATCGTGTAGGTTTAGGTACAAATATCACAATAAATCAAACCCCAAAAAAATATTTTTCAAGCAAATATAACATTTAATAGATTTGGTTTATCTTTTAAGAAAACAATATGTTTTTAAATTGCCCAAGTTTTCTCCTTTTTTAATAAATTTAAAATTAGGTTTACCTAACTTAGAATATTAATCTAAAATTAACTTTCTTATAGGAATATATCGTCGTTGTGAAATATTGTGATTTTAGACCTCCCTTGTGCGTAATACGTATAAGGCATCAGAACAAAATTGTTACGTTTTTATATCTACTGAAAATTTTGATGAAATGTACATAGGAGGTTTCACCGCGACAACGACGATATATAATTAAATTCAATCAAGTCGTTGGATTTTGGGCAAAACAAAATGATCACAAATATGAAGAAATTAAATCCTAACTCGGCAACGCCGTCAGCTAATAATGATGTTTGGTTTGGGGCTTCATGTTTTCTAATTTTAACTAAAAATGTAGGTACAATCTTATAGTCTTATTGTGCTAGGATAGTTTTATGTATAGAACATCAAATAGAAAATTAAGGTAAGTGGGGTTTTTAACTACAATAGGTATAGATACCTACCTACCTACCTACCTACCGAAAAAAATTATGTACCTAGGTAGGTAGGTAAGTTTGACAGATTACATGTTATGAAAACAAAGCTAAGGTATGAATTATGAATAACTATTTGATAATGTCTAATGGTTCTTTTATGGGAATACCTAATTTTTGAATCTTGTACTTCGTATTACATAAATCATTAAATAATAAGGTGAAGAACAGTTTAACTTAACATACATAACCTAACATTATTCAACACAAGCAACAAACAACACATAAAATGTAGGTTAATCTTGAGCAAGGCAGAATCTGGTAAAAGAGAACATAACAAGGTATTTAAATATGAATCAACCTGTTTTCAAACAATCCCCTAGAAACATGTGAATTAAAGTTGAAAATTAACCCCTTGTCAAACCATCTCCATGTGAATTAATTTTGCGTATTGCCTAGGTTACCTAGGCTAGGTAGGTTCCTATCTAATATCTAATGAAATAATTCCTGGGTATATAATTTTGTATAATGTTAACCAATACAGCATAAAAAAAGAACAACTATGATAAATAATATATTACCTACTTACTGAAATGAGAATTAAAAAACATGTGGTTTCTATTTGAAAAATTAATTTCAAGGGTGGTTTCTAAGAAGTTATTTGACAAGGGGATTGATTTGAGTTAATGCTGTAAAAGTGTGAAACAGGACCGTGCAGAGCACGCACGGGCCCCAGTACTGTCATCCTGACGGGCCTTGTTATGTATTTTTATAAATGAAAAATAAAAAAACATAAGTAGGTACATGTTTTGGTGTATTGCGATAATATTTTAATGTCACAAAATATACAAAATAAATAACTAAATAATCTTTAGCCTCTACTATAAATAATTTAGGAACAAATAAAATAAATACTTAAATTTAAAATAAGAAATATATTTTTTCCACATCACCACAGTAAAACAAAATTGTTTAATCCTGAAACCTATTGTACGGCAATATGTGCCGCGTGTCGGGCCTCTACAGTTCCGGGCCCCGGTATTTCGTACCGGCCGTACCCCCCTACGCACGACCCTGTGTTAAAAGTGACATTTTTCACACGAGTGGAAAATATTGAGAATCAAACGAGTGTGAAAAATCACTTTTACGCAAATGATGTACAATATTTTTCCTACGACCACAAAATTATTTCATCCAAAAGGTCCTTTCGCCACACCAAAAAGTTATTAGATTATGACTAAAATTAATTTTTTTCTAATAGTTGAAGTCCTTATTTATCTAATACTGAACTTTTAACTATACCTTACCTTGCAAATTTTTGAGAATTTTTTTTAGAATATGAGTATTTGTACAGTGCCTCACGAGAAAGTAAGTCCTCAACAACAATTCTCGAATTATACTATTATTTATTGACTAGATGGAGTAGAAAAAAACTAAAAATAAGGTTCTTGAAATATTTAGATTTTGTTTTATACAATAAAATATATATAGTAAACCGTGGAACTTATTGAGAAATTAATATTAAAAAATCACAATAAGTTTTTTTCTACTCCATCTAATCAATACATAATAATATAATTCGAAAATTGTTGTTGAAGTCTTACTTTCTCATAAGACACTGTACAAACACACACATTTTAAAAAAAAAATTCTCAAAAATTTGCACGGTAAGGTATAGTTAAAAGTTCACTATTAGATAAATAAGGACATCTACTATTAGAAAAAAATTAATTTTAGTCATAATCTAATATTTTTTATTTAACATTGGTGGCGAAAGGACTTCCTTAAATAATTTTTAAACTGTTTTACGGATGGTGTTTTGTAGACATTAAAAACATTGTAATTCCATTTACAAACGCTCTCATAGGATGATAAAATACTATAAGGTACAAAAAATATTAGAATTAGTTTATTTTTTAAATACCTAGAAGAACTGTTTTTTATTTTTATGCTTACAATTTTTTTCTGAAACTATCAAAATATTTCAAAAAAATAGCGAAAAGATTAACGACAGTTAGGCAAATCGTGAGGGAGGGGGGTTAAGGGGAGTGGTAATTAAAAAAAAAATCAAATCAAAAATGAAAAACGATACCAATTTGCAATTTTCAGAAAAAAAACAAGCTCTATAATTGGACGAAGCGTATAAATAAAAATGGGAGTTAAATAAAAAAAAATCAAAAACGAATAGCGATATCAAAATTAAATTTTAAGTAGAAATCAAGCTCTATTAGGGAATAAAACCTTATTAATTCTGGAAAAGATCTGAATAAATCTGGGAGATAAGGGATATTGAAATATTGAAAAAAAAATTCTAACTTAGAAACAAAAATTACTGAACTATTTCTGGATATTATTAATACCTTATAATTTCGGATCTCAACTCCTTTGATTACGTATTTACTAATAATAAAATTATACAGTTGAGACTCCGTCACTTGTCAAGCAAAAAAAATACATGGAAATACAAATATAAGTTTCTATCACACTTTTTACAATTTTATCTCTTTTATAAAGCTTTCTGCGCATTAATTTTTAATTAAACCTGTATATAGGAAGAAAAATCTAAAGCGTGTGTGTAATGACCCTGAACATAAATATTTATTTAAAAAGAAAACAAGATAGTATTTCGCAAAAATTGACCTTACGGTCAATATTATTTTATCACTGCATCGTCAATATATTTAGTTGAAAAAATAATTCATTGAAGAAGGAATTTTTCTTTCAGATGCTCCATGACGATCTACTAGAGGACCTTGAATGTCCTATATGCTGCGAATACTTAATACCGCCCATTAGAATGTGTAACACAGGACACAGTATTTGTAACCAGTGTAGGGAAAAAATTAGCATTTGTCCGATGTGTAGTAGCACATTTTCAACAGGTATGTTTGTTTTTCCTTATTTATAGTAATTCTGCCGTGTTAGTTGAAATGGACGTAACTACATTTTTCATCCTTTAAAGGAGGGAACGCATTAGGCGGTCACGGTACCGTCGCATCGCGGTCCGTTTTGTACTGAGCCGATCGCAGTCCGTTCTGTACTGAGCCGATCGCGGTCCAAACAAAACCAGTCGCATTTAGTAATCTCACACAATACTACTTAAAATTGCATTTTGTTTAGTGAAGAAATTAAAGTTCCTTAGATGAGGTCCTTTCATTAGCTCTTATATTTAAAGACTAAAAAAAAGCGTCAAAGAAAAAAGCATATGAGATTTTGGATCCATCCAATTAACAGAAGCAGACAAGTAGAGGGCGAATTTCAAATTTTATTCAAAAAAATACACTGATCGCGATTGTAATTATAATTTCGCAAATATTTTACTAATATAATATTAGCTTTTTATCTTCCATATTCCAAAACGGGTGAAACAACACACAATAATCACAAAACAAATATAAACAGTTTTACAAAATTACACTTCCATTCGTGTCCGTATAGTAACGAATGTTGCAGATTTACTTCGATTTTAAACGATTCATAGAATTAGTATGGTACGCGATCATTAAAATCATTCGCACTCTTTTTGCACTACACATTCCCGTTCCCGAACTCGTCTTTTTAAGAACACAGAGTGTCCCATTAGTACATAATTGCTCGATATTACAATTTGTCTCATAGACACTCACAAACAGATTCAAATAAAAGTTATATGGATTTTAAAACAAAACTAATATAAAAATATTTTTGAATATATTGTTACGTTTTTTCCTGGCCAATAAAGAATATTTTTTGAATTGAACGCCCTATAGAATGGCATAGTAATACTATATTTAACCCTGAAATATTTTTGAAATATATTACATGGTTGTCAAGCTTTTTTTGTGAAATAAAAAATGATATAGATTCTAAATAAAATTATCAAAATTTAGGTAGATTAGCGATTATTTTAAAAATGTTTAAATTACAAACTTAAGAAAGGAAGCTAATAAATGAGGAGCGAACCAAACATACTTTTTTAAACAAAAAATAAATATTTGAAATCTGCACACTTTTCCCGTCCCATTAACATAATATATCGCTATGATTTACTGGGTAGTTTAGATCCTGAAGGCATTTTTGTCCTAAACTCATAATAAATTTAATGCCCTGTACGAAATTACATAAAACAGATTTGATTGTTTTCACATCGTCAAACAAGTTTAATCAGTTCACTCATAATAATTTTTTTTATACTAAATGAAACTCTCTACAACTTCTGTTTTACATACTTTTTTCGAAATCCCAACCAGTTTTGAGCTGAAAATGATTTTTACCTAACATTTTTCATCAAACATTCCTTCATATTATCTCAACTATTCGTCAGAGAAATAAATTCACTTAAAGGAAGTTTTAGAGAATTGAATAACCTTCAAGAAATTAGGTACATATGCCAATTTATCTCTAACCAATTTTAAGATTTTTCGTTTGTTGCAAGTATCTCCACAATGAGTCTATTAGTACTCATAAGTGCAGGTTTTTGAACCTGCACAGGCGACCTGAGCAAAATGGAAAATCAATTCTTTTTAGTGATACCGTGCGGCAGGCTTGCACAACTAAGATTTTCAAAGGGCCAGTTAAAAAAAAATCGTAGGTGCACGAGGGCCAAGAACGGATATACTTTTTGGGTAGGGGAGTAGGTGTAAGCGAAGGATTTTCGCAGTTGCAACGCTTAAATACGTTAATATGCGGCTCTAAAAAATTCATTTATAGTTTATTTTCAAACGTTGTTTTTTAAATAAAATAAACATTATTTATTTAAAATACTTACAACAAAGTTTTATTCAGTTTTACCACATATATGATTTAATAGACACACAATCAAACTTATATGGAATCACTGTGTATTTCTCAATAACCTTTTTGTAAGGAAAAAATTTGGTATCCAACTTTAAGGCTTTTGCTTTTAATAAGAAGCATGCCAAGGCGAATAGAAGCTTGCATAAGGGCTAGAGGGCTGGATCTGGTAATACAGTTTGTTAAATTTCCAATTTTCTTTTTTTTTGCTTTTCGGCTATTAAGGAGGTCTTTTCGCCACCAATGTTAAATAAAAAATATTAGATTATGACTAAAATTAATTTTTTTCTAATAGTTGAAGTCCTTATTTATCTAATAGTGAACTTTTAACTGTACCATACCGTGCAAATTTTTGAGAAAAAAAATTTTTAAAATGTGAGTATTTGTACAGTGTCTTACGAGAAAGTAAGACTTCAACAACAATTTTCGAATTATAATTAATTATACTATTATTTATTGATTAGATGGAGTAGAAAAAAACTAAAAATAAGGTTTTAAAAATATTTAGGTTTTGTTTTTTACAATAAAATATATAGGTTACCGTGGAATTTATTGAGAAATTAATATTAAAAAAATCACAAAAAATTTTCAACTAGGTTACTTGAAATTTTTTTTTAATATTAATTTCTCAATAAATTCCACGGTAACCTATATATTTTATTGTAAAAAACAAAACCTAAATATTTCAAAAACCTTATATTTATTTTTTTTCTACTCCATCTAATCAATAAATAATAGTATAATTCGAAAATTGTTGTTGAGGTCTTACTTTCTCGTAAGACACTGTACAAATACTCACATTAAAAAAAAAAATTCTCAAAAATTTGCACGGTAAGGTATAGTTAAAAGTTCACTATTAGATAAATAAGGACTTCATCTATTAGAAAAAAAAATAAAGTTTAGTCATAATCTAATATTTGTTTTTAACATTGGTGGCGAAAGGGGTGGCGAAAGGACCTCCTTTAAAATATAAATCTCATTTAATTTCAGAAACCAAAAAAATACCATTATGTTTATTTTCTCAAACAATTAATTATTTTCAATGCTATGTGAGTTATTTATCATTAAAAGTCTTTGGTAAGGACTGAGTTTTATTCATAAACAAAAAATATTCATACATCTCAAAAATTATGAAAAATAATAGATGATTCCATATAAGTTTGGTTGTAATATTAAGGCAATTAATAAATGCAATTTTGTTATTGAAAAATGTATATTTTGACGTATGCGGGTCAAATTGGTAAAGGGACAAAGGAGCAATAAAACTTCAATGGTAGGCCATAAGTTGTGCAGGCCTGCCGTACGGTAAACCTGTGCGTGTGTATCTTTCGATCGCCCGCGCAGATCACAGTGATCGATCACACTAGTTGTTTTCTAGTCTTAGTCTGGAGTGGTCGCGTTCGCCTCGTGTGTACACATGACAAAAATTGGCGTCATCAAATTCAACTAGGAAAGTACATGATTTCAGATATCATAGGAATAACCATTGCAAGTAATTTTAGGTATGTTTTCTCGTCTATTCGGAGATAGTTCTTAAAATCTATAGGTTCGAATTTTAACCGTTCTTTAACTTAACATGATTATAAATTTTTCTTTTTAAAAACCAATTTTTACATCATTTGGTTTGCTTCTTTTTCAATGCCAGTGCATCTTCCTCTTCTATCGACGCCATAGCGAAATGAACTGAATAGCTCTCCGGTCTCTGGCATACCGGATCATCCCATACACGCTACGACATGAGGTCGATCTGCGCAGGCACGCGTGCACTAGTAGACCTCTCCGGTAGACCGTAGCGTGTATGCCCGCCATTATTAGATATCAAATACTAATATTGTTCTATACAAAAATACGTAATAGTAGAGGAGACCGTGGAAGATCGACCTTCACTCATCTGATAACCAGAAGAGACATATTTTTTTACGTAATTTTATTGATTTATTAACACGCCTATTTGAACTTGCCATTCGAAAAGTGTTCATGACTATTTTTAATTAAATGTTAATAAAAAACATTTTATAACTAGCAGGCAAGCATATACGATTATTTTCCTAATTAAATTATCTCTCACCTGATATCAATTTTTATTGGTTGACATATCGGTGTAGTTACCTATATTGATTTACCTGTTCATGCTTGCTTGCCAGGTAGCCATGAACAGAATAAGTCCTACTCATAAGCCTACCAAGGCATATTGTCTATGTTAAAAACTGTCTGTTAAAATTAATTTGTTCAGTTATCAGCAAAGTGAAACGTTAAAAGAAAATTATTAAAATTTATTAAATAAAAATAGCCATGAACACTTTTGGAATGGCAAGTTCCCATAGGCGTGTTAATAATTCAATATAATTTCATAAAAAATATGCCTCATCTGGTTATCAGATGGGTGAAGGTCGATCTCCCACGGTCTTTTAGACTATAAATCTCAACGATGAATAACTACTAAACCAATTTGGTTTACAAAAGGCAAATTGACAGCAACCACGTTGTTCATCCACATTGGTGCCAAATTATTACAAGAGACTCATGTACATGGATTGTTTGTGGTTATAATTCGGAATTTACTTAACAAAAAGCTATAAAACGCACAAAAGGCTTTAATAATTACATTAAGAAAGTATACTTGCATTCTTAATGGCAATTATTATGAGTTTAAAGTATTTTTCTGGTTGCAACTAATGTAATTGAACGTGATTTCCAGGAAAGTAACCATTTATTTTGTACAGTGGCAACAGTGTGAAGCAAGATTCATAGTCATACATGCTGCTGGTTCATTCATAACACACATACTCGCAAACGTTGTCCCAACTCAATTTGTTAGGTTGTCTCACTCTTTCTAATGCGGCAACCGATGCAACAGCTCCATCTGTCTAATATAAACACAAATTGAATACTTACAAGCAAACAAGTGGTAAATAATTGTAAATGAACAGATTAGTCTAGTAGTTGTTCATCGTTGCTAAATTTATTTCATCCTTTTTAACAATGTTGCCAATTTCTTCATTTTCGATATATTTTCTTAAAATTAATATTTTACTTTTTAGGTCGCAATGTAACGTTGGAAAGTGTAGCCAACAAAATAAAATATCCCTGTGAGTACAGGCGGTATGGATGTACGGAAAAAATGGACCTTAGCGAACGGATCCCACATCAAAAAAAATGCTCGTACAAAATTATTAAATGCCCTAAGGAAAATTGCAAGTTTGTAGGTGTACTTAATGATTTAATTAACCATTGTTGGGAAAACCATGAAATCTTAAACGTAGATACGCGTTCTGACATAAGCTACTTCTTTCTTACCCATGATTCATTATCAAACAGCTATTTATTGAGACAATATGATAGCAATAAATTCATATATTTTTGGTTACGAGCAAAAATTGTATGCTTTCAAGTTTATTTAAGTATACAAATGCTTGCAGAACCCAAAGAAGCTTCCAAATACAATTATCAAATTCAATTTACTGATGGAATTAGAACCATATTGTATTCAGATACTTGTCAGTCCATTTTTGTAGATGACGAAGATCTATTTAAAATTTCCGAAAGTTGTTCTCTATCTATGAAGTCTTATCTGTTTTACTCAAAATCCGAATCATTCAGAAAAACAATTACTATTGAAAAACCTGATAAAAATAAAAATTATTCGTGGTTTTATCTATTCATTTTACTAGTGTTAATATTTTGCGTATTTCAATATTATTTTTATCCTATTTACCATACTGTATTTTCGATTCCCTCGGTTAGTGATAGCAAAGTGGACAAAGTCAAAACCAAGCACAAGTCTAAAAAACATTACAAACATTTAGATGATGATGATAATAATAATAGTAACATTAATACTGATTTCACTTACGAAGATTGGATAATACTGATATTTTTCATTTTACCCGTATTATTTAGTTTTATTCTAGTTTTTAAAACATTACGACGCATCTTAACATTTATCAGAGTAGAAATAGGTATTTAAAAAGTTGTGAAACAAATTTGATCTGTTTATTATAAGTACAGGATTGGGCAAAATGAGGAGATTACCCGATTTATGGGATTATGAGAAAAATTAAAAAAAATCCTTTGATAGGTTGATTTTGTTTTTTAGATGCGTATATTTAGATGCAGTTTAAATCATCAATTTTTGAAGATGTGGCATACCGAAACACTAGTTATTTGAATAACAATATCATTTTTGGAGAACACCAATTAAATGAACACATATTTTCGCGTACGGACGCCAAATGTTCTTTAGTATTAGCAATAATATAAATTTTGCATTTCTAGATTTAATTTTTAGATTTTAACGTTTTATCATATAATAAATTAAGTTCGAATGTAAACATAACCTCATTTCTGACTTTCGAATATTTTGTGATTATTAAATAAAAATACGACGAACCATTCTAGATTGGTACAATTTACTACCAAAATATTCTTCCCGTACATTTGTTTGTCAACCCGCTTTCTAGAACGGTTCAAAATATGTTTTCCGTATGTGTGTAGGTATTATATTAATTTAGATATTTGAAATATACATTTTTTACCTATTTACACAATTTATAGAAAATAAAGAATTTAACAGTATGTATTCTTATTTATTATACACGGTGGAAAGAAGTATGGAAATTTTCTGGAAATGAGAAAATTTGAAATTTGGGGTTTTAAGGACATGTCGATTTCACTTTCCACTTTTCCCAGATTGACCGTTTTTCCTTTATTATTGGTGAAAAAATATAGTCGTTTGTGCAACAAGAGTGGATATAGAAAATCCACTCGAGTTGTACAGGTCCACCAACGAAAATATAAACAAAAATAAAAATTATTTTACGTTATTTAAGACAAAACAACTAATTTTAAAATAATTTATATCTTTTATTCATTTACAAAATAAAAAAAAATAATTTAATTAGTGCAGAGGAAATTTAATTGTTACCGACATAGCGAGAAGCGGGCCTCCAGAAGGCACTCTGGAAAAATAACGGTAAGGTGTTAAATATGCAATTTTTTATATAAATTAATTGATAAGGTGCAATGCTGAAAAAATGAAGAAAAATTGGAGATAGTAGGAAAAAAATGACAGAAAACTAGGCGGAAGACCTGCCAAAAGACGTCAATGTTGCGAAACGCAACAATTATATGACTAAGTGCACTTCTGGCAATTTCTATAGGTACATATTATTCTGTAATTCAAAACGAGATTACTTGCAAAATAACAGAAGGCTAGGTGGAAGAGGTAGATAAGGGAGAGATTTCCCATACTAAGAGCGTCGGTGGGCTAATGACAGCGCAGTCAATTTTATGTGTAAATCAATGTAAAATAAAGTGATTTTTTAAAAAATTGATGAAAAGAATCAAAATAATGTGAAAAAAAGTACCTGATTACTAACATGAGTGACAAAAAATATCAAAGCAAGATTTACGTCGTTTCAGATTGGAAAACAGGATAAAAATCAAATGTAAAACTAAAGAAAACACAAGAAGAAATCAACTCAATGTCTTTTTAAAGCTTTTAATGTAAGTAAAATAATGTATTCATGTCTAAATATAATATTTATTGTAAACTAGTCACAATATGTATCTTACGAAGTGTAGTTTATTTTATTATAAGTTTCTATAATATAAAATTTTACAGTTATAGATGCTGACTTATAACAACAATAATTATGCATTAAATTTAACTTACTAGAAAATAAAATTTATTCTTTATAGAGTTTTAATGTTAGATAAAGAGTTGCTACTGTTTTTTTTTTGACTCCAATTGTGTCATTGTAAATGTTTTTTTATAGGATACTAAACGTTTAGAACAGTGGCAGCATATATATTGTTCCTAGTGCTGATAAAGCACTTTCTAGAGATAATGCTGTTCTATATTTTTAGAAGATATTATCATATATTATAAGACTATTTTTACTGATGGTACTGTTGGCAAAATAAAAAGGAGAATGCTGAAATTAAAGGATGAGGTAATACCATGTATATTCCCAAATCTCCCTTTATACTAGTATTACAACAATAAAAAAACTGTTAACCGTGTTTTATTTTACTCTTAAAACTATATATTGGTTCAATTCAAAAAAAAAAAATTGCTTCAAAATTGTACTCATCAAATTTCAGCAAATAAGAAACCTTTTCGAATTTGGTCACACATACCTAATTTGTATTTTATATAGATAAAATTAAATATTTTTATCAATTAAAACATGCAAGACTTATTTAGAAATAAATACAACAGTATGTTCTGTGCTTTATTTAGCTGTAAACAAGTTTATTTTTATTATTTTCACAAAATTATGTATAATTCTTGTAAGAAGCAATGTATTTTGAACAACGTATGCAGTACCAGCGCCCATGCGGTTAATTATAGAAGCTCAATTAGCATGCGGTTTTTTGGGACCGTATTTTGAGTATGCCGATTCGTCTCCTTATCTCTAATCTTCATAGACCACCCCAAGAAATAATTATAATGTGCCCAAACAGTGTGAAAATTTAAAAAATATAATTTCCAAATCAAATTTCGTCTTGGATAATAATTACATTATAGCCCAAAATAAACAGTACTGAACTTATAATTCCCGTATTTATTCAAGAAATACGTATCATGTAGACCTCCTCATTGAAAGTTCGACACATCTCCATTCATTGATGGTTTGTGGTGTATTTTTAAAGACGGTTTCTTTGGTCATATGTATCTGGAAAAATTTGATAGGGTACTTTTTGAAAAATTATGTGCACCTTTATTGTGCCCGTATGTCGACTGGCCATTTTTTCAAGTCAAAATTACATTGGGAAATGTTTTCTTCAAATTTTGACCTTCTCTATGATATTTTAAATTATTGTAGGCAGTGGTCGCACGTCGATACATAATTTTAAACACTTTTAAATCTTAAATTGATCCTGACGATTGCTCATTTTTTCAAAGTTGAAATTCGTTCCAAAACTCTTGTTTTTCTATAATTTACCCTTTAATTATTTTAAAGGGTGGTTAAAAAAAGTTAAACATGGTCAAATTTGATTATACCTTTGGTGCAATCAGTTTAGAGAAATGTAAACTTCGGGGGACCAGCGGGCACTACGTTTTTTTTAAACATGTATGTTTCTGAGGGTGGTCAAAAAAGTTACCTGGTGGTCAAACATGGTTAATAAATGGTCAAACGCATGCCATTTTTAAAACTACAAGTTTTGAAAATTCGGGGGACCAGCTTCACACAGCTCATCAAGTGCACGTCTGGCGATTTGGTGTACATTACTGGACAACTGCCAGAAGTCAATTAGGAAGATGTTCATTGTATTTATTAACATGGAAATAATTTTTATTTCTACTTCTAATACCACATATATCTCTAATACTAATCGAATAACAATATTAATTGACAACGAATATTAATAGGTACTCAGTCTCATAACCCTGATTTTCTATATCGTCATCAAATTCAACATCCTCGTCCCTGTGGTACGTCGTGTCATCATCTCCATCTGAAAGTAGATATAATAGTGGTATTCTACGAATATTTAAAATTATTAAGGGGGTATTCTGGTCTAGAAATTCAAAAAAATAGATTTTTTTTTTCATATTTTTAAAGTCTTGACCTTTAAGAATATGAGCCAAATGGAATTTTTTGAAATTAGGATTATTTTGAAAGTTACAGCTGTTTTTGTAATGCGCCGACGGAAACGGTACTATTATCTAAATTACACTACCCAAAACCTTAAATGCGATTTTCTCGAAACTACTTTTTTCGACCGGGTTGACATGATATCTCAAGTTCTAATTAACCGTTTTACTAATAATTTTGGTTAATTGTTCTTTGTATATCCCTCTATACATTAGATTGTAAAAAATGTTTTAAAAATATGTGAAGGTCAAAAAAAAAGAGGCCGAAAAAAATTTTTTTTAAATGCTCGCTATTTTGCGAAAATATTTTTAGAATTATTTTTCAGAACGGGCTATAGCGACGTCTTTACTAATCATTTTTTTTGTTTGTTTTTGATTTTTTTTTTAAATTATCTTGTATTCTTAACATATTACTAAACATTATGTAAAAAATAGATAGTAAACATTTGTTTATTTTTTTTTAATCTACGCGGAATTTTTTTTTTTAATTTAGGCTTCTAGACCAGAATACCTCCTTAATATCATTTTAATAGAAATCATATTAGTCGTCATAGATTTTCACTATTAAAAATAGATTACCCCGTTTTCAATCTCTATGTAAGTACATACACATATCACACGCTTCACTAGCGGTACCTGTCGAATAAACATTGAAGTACAATTCGAATTTGGTAATATCGTGTGAGTGTAGAAAAAATGTTGCAAGCTATTTGCTGCTCTTAAACGGCAAAGTAGCACTTTCCGCTTTGGATACACAATTTTCACGAGGGTCATAAGTGAAACGTACTTGACACTGACAAGATGTCAAAAAAGGTAACAGTTTTTAGGTAAACTCTAATAGTACCAACCATATTAAGTTGGCATTAAAGGCATCAAAACGTTTTTTTTTTCTGCAGTAAATTTCAATACTGTATTTTTTTTTTTGTTTAAAAACAAACGCGTTATAAAACGCACGAACAATATTTTTTACCAGACTTTCCAAATATTATTTCTCGTACAGCAGACATAGATAATCGTCGACTGGACGAATTTTTTCGATAGCAACTTTGATAAATGAGTTATCAGATTTTTTGTAATGAAGATTAATTATCCCTGGCAAACGCAGACGTACAAAAATTTCGGCACAAACTAAATGATTAACAACGACAGTTATGGGGAGCAGATCGGGTTTGGGTTTGGAGTTGAAAACCCTTTGTTTAATGTTAAATCGTTAAATGTAATTTACAATAAAGGATTTGTTGAACTCCGGCTATTTATATAATTTTAAATATAAATACGCGTATATTTATTTCATTATTATTTATTTACTATCTTTATTTTGCCTTATAATATATAATAAATAATCATGGATTTCATCTCTTCAGTAAAGGTCTATCCACATTAGCCGGACCGTGACTTGATCGTGGCTTGATCTATAGTGAGAATA